AGACTCCATCTCAAAAAACCAAACTTTTAAAGTCTCCTTCCATGTTTCTCTGGAAAATCCTAATATGGGTGGTATTTAAAGCCTCGAGCCTAGATGAGATCGTCAAAGGAGTGCGTGCAGAGAGGAAGTCTAGGGACTGGAGCTTCTGTATAACAGACGATAGAGGACTAAGGACTGAAGCCTGGGCCCCTCTCATGAGCAGGAACTAGTAATGCAGGAGGGAAATCCAGAGAGGATGGGTCCTGAAAACCAAAAGAACCAAATGCCGCAAACTCTGCCCACAGTACATGTGGAAGAAGGGTTTGGTGGAGCAGAGGATGACAGCCCTTGCTTTCTGAGGGCTATTCTCTGGCCCAGCCTTTAAGGGAGAGGATCTATTGAGGTGACACTGCTCCCCAGAGCCAGAAGCTGTCTCTCCCCCACAAGCTGAAACAGGTCTGCACTACAGCTCTGGCCCCTGCTCTCCCAGCCTCATTTCCCTGTGGTCTCAAGTCCTGCTGAGCCTTTAAGACTCAGCTCCATCACTTCCACTCTGCCAGATGGCTGCACCTAACCCCTCGAGATTGAGCTGGGTGCCCCTGGGAACACTGTTGGAGAAATAGCTCCTCTGTTGGAGAAACTCCCCACATCAAACCTGCTTACATGTCTGAGTCTCCCACTTGGCCAGGTGCACTCTGGGTTTCTGGGAAGGTTCCTTATTTCTGCATCCTCAGTTCCTAGCATGGGGCCTGGCATTGAAACTCTCATTAAAGTGTTGCGAAACAGCAACACTCCGCAGAAGCTCCTCCTCAAGCCAGTATCTAGCCAAGACTGGCCCTTCATTATGCACAAGCTCCAACCCCTGGACTTCCTCTCCTGAAACCTCAAGTGCTGGGAGATCTTGCCAAGCCCCTCTGCAGCAGAGCAGGACCCTCATAGCACTCGCTAAATACCTGTTAAATACCAAGGAATGTGCCATGGGCTGGGTCCAAATCCCGGCTTGGACATTCTCAAGTAGTCTGGACTTCAGTTTCCCATCTCCAAAACGGAGATGACAGTTGCTCATCCCTTAAGATCCTCATCAGTCCTGACATTTGGGAAAGTTGTCCGGCGGGCTGTAAACGAGCTGGGCAAATCTGAGTTACTAAGGGGCCAGGGCTTTTCCTCAGCAGCTGATTCAGGGCAAGTGACTACACCTGGCCAATGCCACATAAGGCCTTTTACCGTATTGCACTTGGTTTTCCTCAAGCCACTGTGACGACAAGCAGCATCTTCCTCAGAAGGAACATGGGGAATGAGCAGGGCCTGGACCCAGTGGAAACTCTAACACACCCATGGCCATTCACAAGTGTTTCCAGTGACTAAAGGCCACACGAAGCACTTAGCCGGACCCTTCCTGAAAACTTCTTCCAGAATGGCTCAGCCTGCAGAGCTGCTCTTGCCAAAGCCACCCCATTATGGCCAGCTTCGCCCCCACTGTCCCACTTCTCTGGGGGGCAAGCCTTTCCCTCATCCCCAGGGCAGGGCCCTAGGCTTCCGCTCTCCCTCAGCAAAAGACAACACAGGCAGGTTCTGAAGCTTGCATGTCAGTTTATTCACACTTCCCCCAGGAACTCGCTCACTGGTCAGGGAATGAAAGAAGTGAAGGGATGGGGGGTGTACAAGTAGAAGTAAAAGGCACACCTTGAATGTGCTATGATGGGTTGAAGAGGTTGGTCTGAAATTGATGAGCCTCCCATTTCAGAGGCTCAGGAAGTTTGTGCCCAGGAAATATGCACACCTTCAGCCAAATACCCTGCACCTGATGGAGCAGAAGCAGGCACTGCCTACCCTGGCCTGGCCGTCTGCTGGCTCTCACGCCAGGCATTTTCTGGGCCTGGCTGTCGTAGCCAGTGGGATCACTAACATTGCATGGCCATGGCATCTTGGCCTAAACAAACAGGTGAGGCCTGGCTCTGTTTACACAGCAGCAACAAAAGTGACTGATTAGCAGGAGATTTGCAGTGCACAAATAATGGGAGAGGGTGTGCTTGTCAGCATTAGATAATGACGCCAAAATGTAGTGTAAACCCACAAGGAGGGGGCGACTCAAGGATGGACACATGACTAATTAAGAAAATGTGACTCTGTGAGCTGAACTGGCTTCTGAACAAACCTAATACAGTCTATGCTCACAGTTTCAGTCCCCTTGACTCTAAACCGTCACAGAAGCAGAAGGAAGAGGAAGTGATGGATTGCCGAGCTGGAGCCTAGGGACTGTCATGACTGTCTAGATCTCTGTGGTCCGAGGGCGTCACAGCCTCCTCAGATCCCGAGCCTGGGATGGGGGGGAACAGGATGTAGATTCCCAGGAGGGCTGTCCCCAAGACCCTCTCCCTGCCTGCCCGGCTCCTCGGGCCTCCTCTTCTACCGCTTCTTCTTAGTCTCTTTCTTGGGCCTCTTGTTCACAGAAGGAACAGCAGCCTTGGGCTTCCTCGTCACCTCAGCACTTCTGGGCTCAGACGGTTCGGCCTCCTGTGAGGTGATAAAAAGGAGAGTCCTGCTTAGATGGATCAAGCCTGATGCCAGCAAAAGGAGATCACATCGGAAAGCAAAGAAGCATGCCACAGAAACACAAGAGATGGAAATCGTCATTCCCGGGACCTAGCACCCACACGTATGTGGGGCTGCCCCGGGAGCATCGTGGCTCTCAGTGGAGAATAAAGGAGGCCCCACGGGGAGGGGGCAGCTTGTGGGATCTCAGACGCCCAGGCAGAACCTGGGATCCTTCCCTTTCCAGCCAACTGACTTTGTGGGAAACTCACTTCCCCTTTCTGTGTCTTGGTTTACTCACCTGTGAAATGGAAATAGCCACGCCCGCCTTACAGGACTGATGTGAGGAGGCAAAACTACGTGGAAAGCACCCAGGAAGTGCCAGCTGCATCCAGTGGCTAGCCGATCATCCTGTGTCAGGGACTGGACAAAATGTGGGCGAGGAGCTGGCTGTGGGGCAGACTCGCTGTGGCTTGCCCTCCTCTGGCTGCCATTCTTGTCTTCCCATTCAACCCACAGAATGCCAGGGCTGGGAGGGGTACAGAGGGCCCGCCAGCAGGTACGCAGTTCCACACTGTTCTGCGGAGCCTGGCAGAGGTGCCTCTGTGGGGGAGGGCAGAGGCAGCCTTGGGGCAGAATTCCAGACTCCCCTGGCGACAGGAGCAGCTCTGATTTTCAATCTATTTCATACACTGTGATTTGTCCCTTGTAAGATTTAAATGAAACAAAGTTCTGCTGCTAAGGAATAAAAGGTTCAAACCCACAGATCCAGCCCTGGTCTTTACTGTGCTGATAAGGAAGGTAGACTCCAGCGAAGGGACACAGCTTGGCCCAGGCCACTCAGGCTCATGTCAGAGAAGAATCTGGAACAGGCTCCGTGTGCTCCTGTCTAGTGTCCTCTCCTCCTCTGAGTGATAACTTGCAGTGTGCCGTGGCCAGAAAGGACGGACGTCAGAGAGGCCGGGCTAGCCCAGAGAACGCCAATCACAGCCCACAGGCCTTGTCCAGGCCACAGACTTCATTTGGCCTACAGTGTTTATTTAAAAACTCAAGCCAATTGGGAGATTTCCCATTAAATCTGGATTCCTAGATTCTCTTGAAACTAACTGTCCGGTGACACTGGCCCTGCATTCCCTTGTGGCAGCGATGGGCTGAGGAGGCGCTGCCCCTTTTCAGGTGCCGACCATGCCCCCACACCCCGCCGCCCCCAGCACTGATTGGGAAATGTTTCTCAGTGCCCGTGTTCTTTATGAGAAATAGGAAAATACGAGCAGACTAAGATTCCTGGGAGGGGGGATACTTCCAGATGAGGAAAAAACCCCTCTGTGTTTCATTTCCCAACCCGGCTTCCAGCTCACTACACTCCCTGACCTTCCTTGCTTGCCCTATTGGCCCATGGCCCAAGCCTCAGCCCACCCTACAGAAGAGGAGGGCCCATGCAGGGGAGGGCAGTCCCTGCCTCGGATCCGATCCAGAGGCCTGTCAGCTCCCTCCTATCAGCCAACACTTGTCTCCCGCCTGGGCGAGAAAACCAGTTATGAAGAGCCAGTCAGGCTCAGGGCCCCAAGGAGTGACTGTCCCAAGATAACCGAAGGGCTTCCCCTCCCCAGCCTCTCACTGCAGCGCTGGATTCCCTTGGTCTGCTGAACCTCCTCCTGCCAAAAGTCAAAATGATCTGAAGGTCCCCTACTCTGTTTATGTAACTTGGCCAAAACAAAACAAAACAAAATTTGCAAGGCCTGCCTGGATCTCTAGGAAGGAGTCTGCCTTCTGAGTTCAAGGCTGGGGGCTCCTCCAGTTTCAATGGGGCTCAGTTCAGAGACCACAGGGACAGTGAGACCCAGTTGCCACCCTAGTGCCTCCCTTACTCCACAGGCCCTCTCTCTGGAGCCTCAACCCTTCTGGCACCTCCCAGACCTCTCCCTTGATCCAGCTGTCTGCCAGACGATCAGGACCGGCGTCTCTAACGCACCTCCAACTGAACTGTCCCTGACCTCAGAAGGCCCAGCCCTCCTCTCACTGGTGGAGCAACCAGAGACCCGGTGACCTCACCGTCTCTCTGCTCCCCACTGTCCAGTGGGTCACCATGTCCTGCTGACATGACCCCCTCTACCTCTTGATTCTGCTACTCTCTCCAGCATCCAATTCCCCCTTCAGTTCTGCCCACTGCTAAGCGAAGTGCCTGCTGTCTTTGTCCATTCCTCATGCACCCACCAAAGGAACTATTCTAAAGTGCAGTTCTGGCCACTGCACCTTCCACCTGAAAGCTTCCAGTGGCTCTCTGTGGAACGGCATCTAAGGAGACCGCTTCTCCAGCCTCACCCGGGCTCCTCTTTATCCCCCACACTAAGTCAGGCCCCAGAGCTTCCGCTAGTCACCTTCATCAACAGGAATACCTGCTTCCTTGGCCACCTGGCAAACTGCTCCCATTGTTTGGCCCTGTCCATGAATACACTCCTACTCACTGTCTAGCCTTCCTTCCCTGCTCCTCCCTCCAGCTGGGGGCAGCCCCTCCTCCTTCCTCGGGCCCCTAGGCACCCAGGAACCTTATAATGTCACTACTTTTTTTAAGACAGGGTCTCACTCTTTTGCCCAGGCTGGAGTGCAGTGGCTCGATCTTAGTTCATTGCAACCTCCACCTCCCAGGTTCAAGCAATTCTCCTGCCTCAGTCTCCTGAGTAGCTAGAATTACAGGCACCCATCACCACGCACAGCTAATTTTTTATATTTTAAGTAGAGATGGGGTTTTGTCACGTTGGCCAAGCTGGTCTCGAACTCCTGACCTCAAATGATCCAACCGCCTCAGCCTCCCACAGTGCTGGGATTACAGGTGTGAGCCACTGCGCCCAGCCCATAATGCCACTATTATTTTCCCATAGTTACATGTTTTCATGTTAGCCCCTATTAGCCCATGAGCACTTTGGGATAGCTTCAACTGTTGCTGAATGAATGAATGAGTGAATGAATGAATGAATGAATGAATGAAATGAAAGAACAGCCAAGTCTCCCAGTAACCATGAGAACTTCATTCTTGTTTATTCCCATGAAAATACAGCACTTAAAACTAGGCCTCACTTTTCTATGATCACAGAGGATATGAACAGACTTAAAACCCAATATACATACCCTGGCCTAAAGTATGCCTAAGGATAGCTGCCAATAATAACAACAACAGCTGGGCGTGGTGGCACATACCTGTCCTCCCGGCTACTTGAGAGGTTGAGACAGGAGGATCACTGAAGCCCAAGAGTTTGAGGGTATAGTGTGCTATGACTGTGTCTATAAATAGCTACTACACTCCAGCCTGGGCAACAGAGTGAGACTCCCTCTCTAAAAAATAACAAGAGCCACAACAGCTGCTAATTATTTATTGTTTATAATATGCCAGGCCCTGTGTTATGTGTCTGGACATGACGGCCTCACAAAGTGCCATAATGAGGCCCAATTTATAAACAAAGGAACAGACACTCAGGTCATATGACTTGCCTAAGGTCTTAGCTGGTGAGTAGCAGACCCAAGATTTGAACCTAACCTCTTCATGGGTACAGAGTCCAGCCTCTCTCAGGTTTCCTGTGGTCCTCAGGGGTAGGAATACGTTGAATCTGAGTTAACTGTGAAACCTACTCTCTGTTTAGCAGCCCCCAGAACCACAAGCTGCCTCTGGAACGATAAGTACAGCTCCTCTGAGAACCTATCTGTCGATGGGTCACTTAAAACCCCTTGTTTGTGACTAAAGTCCCTATAGGAGTCAGAAAAGTGGGTTTGTACTCCAGATCACTTGATTTTTTACAGCTGAAGGCAGTCTTCTGTGGGTGTGTGTACATATTACAGTTATCGAGTCATCTGAATGCGTGATCTGTCTCCTCCTCACCCCAGAACTCCTCCTCTCTTCCCCACCTCAGCTTTTAGAGCCGTCATGCACCCAGTTACCCAAGCTAGACACCTCCAAGTCATTTATGAGTTCTCAGCATCCAACCTATCCCCAAGGTCTGTCCATTCCACTTTCCAGCGGGCTCTAGACCCAGCCAGTCCCCTCTGGACACACTCCACTGCCCAGCTCAGACCCAGGTCCCCTGCCAGCCCCGCTGGTTGCAACCAACTCCCACAGATTCTCCTGCCCATGCCTCTACCTCCCCATATTCATCAGAGTTTACTTTATGTTACTTTCAGAGTCAATTTTCCTAATACAATGACAACACGCCAGGCGCGGTGGCTCATGCCTGTAATCCCAGCACTTTGGGAGGCCAAGGCAGGTGGATCACCTGAGGTCGGGAGTTCGAGACCAGCCTGACCAACATGGAGAAACGCCATCGCTATTAAAAATACAAAATTAGCCAGGTGTGGTGGTGCATGCCTGTAATCCCAGCTACTCAGGAAGCTGAGGCAGGAGAATAGCTTGAACCCAGGAGGTTGACGTGAGCCAAGATTGTGCCATTGTACTCCAGCCTGGGCAACAAGAGCAAAACTCAAAAAAAGTTTCATTCAAAACAAAAACAAACAAACAAATAAAAAAAACAATGACAACAACAATCCCAATCGTGTCTGTTTCCTCCTTTAAAAACCTTGCTGGTTCCCCTTTGTGTGAGATAAATTCCAAGACACTCGGCAGGGGCTCCGGGCCTCTCGCTCAGTCTTGGCCCCTGTCTCCAGGCAGGCCCCCTTGCACAGCCCACTCTTGTCACCCTGGGCTATTGGCCAGCCAGTGTCTCCCAGTACTCTGCTCCCTTTCCTCCTCTGTATCTCTACCTGCATCCAGTACATGTGGGCACTGTGCCCATGGGGAATGAAGAGGAGAACGCACACTTAGCGGGTCTGTGTGTGGATGCTCCCCGAGCCTCTCCATTGCCCTGGTGAGCCAGCCACCACGAGCCACACTCCACTGGCAAGGCCACTCAGGCTCCCTGAGGCCAGGTGACAGCCCCATGCAAGCTGCAGGGAAGCAAAGGCGGCCGTGACCCACATGACCTGGGCCCTGGAGTCCT